TGAGTGTTATCATCGTTCACTATAATGAAAACAATTTAAACCTTTTACAATAAAAATTATGATTTTTAACACGCTTATATTAGTTTCACTTGTATGTTGCTTGTTTGTTGCATGTTGTAAGTTTGTAACTCCACGCGGCACGTGTTATTATGTCGCGTATCCCGTCGTCTATGACCTTGAGACTAGACCGTCGTAACGCATTCACCCCACCCCGCTCACCAATCGGCGCCAACACTATTTTCCAGTATAATTTTATTTTTGGTTTTCGTACCCGTATACACGTGCGTGTCATGAATTATATATATATATATAACAAATTTTTATTGTGACTGACACAGCCCCGCGTCGCTTCATTATACACGATGCCCCCCAACTCATGCCACCTTTATCAGCCGTCGCCCTATTATGAGTATTTGACTGACCAACATCTCGCGTTATACGCCGCGGTGCAAAGTCCAGCAAGTGCCGCACGGCCGACGACGTACCGCCGCTAATGATACCGTAGTATTCTTCCTGTTGTCAAAGTGGCAACGTCAATAAACCGATCTCCACTCGCGCACCGTCGCCATCAACGCTGCTAACCTTTTGACGCCCGAGGATCACGCCGGACATCGCGTCGTCGANCTGCTAACCTATTGACGCCCGAGGATCACGCCGGACATCGCGTCGTCGACGCAAGCGACAGTGCCGCGATATTATGCGAAGATCATATATTCCTACCACCACCGATAATATTAATATATAAATACATATTTATACGTATATACGTAAATGTTAATATTCATTTATACAGGGTGGCCCACCCTGTATGAATGAACTAAATATTAGTTAGACGTTAGGTCTAAAGATATATCTCAATAATTAATTACTTTACATTTTATTAAAAATATTAATTATTTTTAAATTTTAAATAAAATGTAAAAAAAAAATCTAAGATAGCTATTTTGTAAAATAGAATTTAAAAAAAATTTTAGTAAAAAAATATCTTATTAATATTCAGTAGTAAATATTCTGTAGCGTTTTGAAGTTTGT